TAACCCAGGCCTTTGTTCCTGTGCTTAGCATTTATTGTTATCATTGACTTTGTTAATTTTACTGTCATCTTTACTAATTGATATGGTTTCTTTGTTCAGGCTAATTGCTTTGGTGTTATGTTTTATTGCTTTGGTGTTATATTTTATTGTACTAATTACTTGGGTGTTGTTTTATTGTACTAATTTTATTGTTATCATTTACTTGCTCTTTGATAGCACTTTGGTCAATGTTACTCTCTTCAGTGTCTTCAATGTATATTCAGTATGATCAGTATATTTTATTATTGTTCTTCTTGTCAGGAATATTGTTGAAATCTTTTGTTGTTTTCTATCTGTCAGGGGTTGTTATATGTTGATGAGAATGGCTTCAGATAATTTCAGATTGGAATAGCTGGAGTTACAGTATATTATTTTGGCATTGTTCAGGATTTTTCTTGTAGTTTCAATATTATATGCGTGTTCTAGGAGTGTTTATATAGAACCTTTTCTTTAGTCAGAGCTGTTGTAGTTACTCAAATATATGAGACATTCTGACGTGCACAGTCATCAAAGTGACATGTAAATTTATATATCAGATGGCAGTGTTTTAAGGCAGAATCATGCTGAGGAGTGCAGTTGATGTTCATAGGAATGCAAAGACATCAGACCTGGTCATGAATTCCATTACACATTATGTATTATATAAAGAATGTTAAAGATTTGATAAAAATGGGTTGGTGTTTTCTAGCCATTAATTGTTGGCTTACTTAATTCTACTAAGACTTATTAATAAATTACAAGCATAGTTCCATTACGCAAAACAAAAGTATTCAACCAAAGTGGTCTAAATGTTTTATAAAGTTACGAAATTAGCAAGTATCGGCAACCTGTAATTTGATTCAATGTTTACCCCAGCTGCTTCATTAGTTACAACACATCATTTCAAAGTCAAAAAATTATTATTATTAATTTGAAGACAAACAACATTGGTCACACTAACGTCATATTTCATATAACTTCGCATATTATTTTAGTGACCATGGTTTCTCCATGTCATCTTTTTGCTGCAGCTTATGATGCTTCATTTTATCGCTCATTGGAAAATTTAACTGCATATATATTTCAGCAGATGACAATCTCACATTCAATTATATTCAATAGAAGACAACTTTAACTAATTTATAATACTTTCGACTATTTTTTACCTAAATGTTAAATCTGTTATGGACTCATACCCTAATTTTAAATTATAAAAATAATAAACATATTGATTTCCTTATTCATCATGTTTTGAATTGAAATGAAAATGATAACTGGCAACATTAATTAATTAATTAGCAAAATTATAGTATTTGTCAAGTTGACAACTGTATTATTCAATATATCTAACAGTTTCTAACTAATTTAAATTTGATTATTATCTAGTGATCACCACTACAGTATTTTTGTATTGCAACAATCAATATTTTGAAATTAAAAATAGCTTGTTGGTAGTTACATTCATTGGTTGACTGTCAACCATCAACCAGTCACCAAGTCATTCATGTTTTTGAAGCATAAAGAAGTCATTGTAAGACAATACTTGAGTTAGAGTAACCAAAAATATAGTAAGAAAAGAAAGTAATATATATATATATACAGATCTTAGGTAGAGACAGACTATGTTAGTATAGTTTTTAATTTATATATTACAAATAAACCTCAGTAAAATGAATTTTATCTAACAATTAAATATCCAATTTTCATGGTAAAAATAAAAAAAATGCAAGACCCAGCAAAAATTGCAACAATTTAAATTTAAAAGTTAGAATTAGTAATTGATTAAATTTTAGATTTTAGTCTTTTTAAATTTATTATAATAAAATTATCAAAATTAATAAAACAAATCTAGGAATATTGTATGTATGGCTTGGAATGAAATGAAATTGTTTTTAATTTTACTTTAAGAAATTTTAACAACAAATCTCGAAGAATACAATCAAAATTATCGCCAGTTTTAAGTGAGATTTAACGTTATGAAATAATCGACAGATCCATTGCGAGACATTACAAATAAAAAAACATCCAACGAAACTTTCAACATCGAATTTTTGTATTCAAGTTTTTACCTTTCAATAAAAACAAAAAAGAACTAATAAAACAACGAAATGTAAACATAATAAAATGTTTCGATGGATGATTTATCATTGTCTATCTACCGGGCCCATACAATTTGAATTTGAAATAATTTTTTACCTCAAATCTCAAACCAACTGAATTTAGAAATTTCAGACAAATTTAGTTTTATTCAAATATCTGTAGCCGAAGCGAGGCGCTAGAAAGGAGAAAAATTCTTATTAATTGTTGGATCCTTATATATATATCGATATTTTAATTCATGGATATAAAATTAGTCCATGTTTTAATTACTCTGTTGGTAGATCGTTTGTTAGTTTTTGACAAAACTGTATGCCATAAATTAAACAGTGATAAAATTGAAATTCGTAACATTTTTAACATATTATAATGCGGCTAAAGATGTCATTAAGATATAGAGATTTCGTTCAATTCAGCCTTAAAGCCTAACAACATTTGTTATTGTAGGCGTAGGGGGCGCTTCATTTTACTTTCTAAATTCAACTTAGTGATTTTCTTTCGAGATGGTACGTCATTGTCAATTTGTTAAGTCAGTAAATTCAATTTATGTTCAATTGGGTCTATAACTTTTTTCACAATGTTATCCATTTCTTATTGAGTTAACAGCGAAAAAATTAAATATCGCGAATTAATTAAAAAATGCCGCAGACTACACAATTATAGCAGCTGCATCTTTAGATGCCAGTTTGAGCTGGTTAACATGATACAAAAATTAGCCATGAAACTCAGTAAGCAAATTCTTGGTTGCGAATCATTAAACTTAAAATAAGAACATTTCTACGTTTAAAACCGGGCCTACTCTAAATCTTTATGCAACGAACTGTTTCAGATAGTTTTTAACATAATCCTTGATTTGATGGTTTTATGTCGGCATGGCTTAGATGATGTGCAGACCAGACTAGTCGTTACAGAATAAATTACATACGAAAATCCTCATCATCGTTACATATACCATATACATATATAAAGAATACATATATATATATATAGATATACATAGATATATTCTATATATATGACCATATAGAAGTGTCCCCTAGTAATTTTAAACTCTTTGACCAAACTAAATTCAAATATTTAATTCAATTGCTAGAAGTTTAAATTTTGCTTGGTAAAATACTTTTTTTGCATTTTGAGGATTTCCATACATTCAAATTCATGTTAAAATAACTTCAAAAGTTATACTTTATAAACATCACTCATCGATGCAATGTTTTGTTTAAACGCACATGAATGACTGCAACTCTAACAACGCCACGGATTTCAATCAGCTGTCAGGAAGTTTAAGCAGAAATCCGAATGAAACCAATCAAATCAAAAATTTAGCAATCGAATTCAACTTTTAATAATAAGGCTCATGATTATAACAAGTTTTGAGAACCGATATAGCAAAACCGGTGTGTGAAAAATTCAAATGAATTTACGCAGTGGTTTTTGGTTGCTACCCTTTTAAATAAGAAGAGCAATAAGCAAAATTTTTGTCATATTTTACTAAAGAATAAAGGTAAAAATGATTCAAGCCAAAAGGAAATTGTATGAGGGAGATATTTTTACAATTTTTGTGGGAGTGTTTGACAATATAGCAGTTCCAGCAAAAACTGGTTCGCAAAATTTAGATTTGGCTAATTTAATGTCAAAAATGCACCATGCTCTGGAAGACCGGTTGAAGCTTATAAAAACACGATAACAACTCTAGTTGAAAGAAGCCTGCGAACAACAACATGCATAATTGTAATTCAACTGTTTATAAACAACTGAAAGGCTTGGGTTTGACCTCGGAGTTTGATGAACGGGTTTTACCAAGATAAAGTAAAGCCTCATACAAGTTTGTCACTCGCCATTTGTCAAAAGCTTTCACAGCTTGAATGGGAAAACATTTACTTCAAATAAAGAAGTTAATGATCACCCGGATCAGGATTTTGCCAGCAAAAACTATTAATTTTTTGAGTCTGGAATCATGTTACTTCCAAAAAGATGGCGAAAGGTGTTAGGCCAGAAAGGCCAATATATAATTTAATAAAATATTTATTCATTAAACGAAAATAATCTTTCATTTTCACCAAAAAAAGGTCCAAACAATCTTAGATTTTTATAGTTTTTATAGAGCTGTTTGATCCTAATGTTTGTCTGTAACTAGAAATATTTTTCTGGAAATATTATTGGCCATTCTTTGTAATCCTTTTTATGAATGGCCACGCTCTTCACATTTTCCGTTGCAATAATTTAATCGCAATTTTTTTTATTAGTTAACAGTTCAACGTTGCGATAATGAATCTTTTAGTTTCAGCATTTTTTCTTTATTTAATGATATCGCTGTGTATTTTTAAACTTATAATATTTTTATTTTATTTATTATTGAAAGACTTATTCAAATTTACACTGACGATGATTATATGACTTTAAAAAACACCTCGATATGATGTTTTTACTTATTTTAAATAATTTAGATAAAAATAATAAGAAATTATGAAATAACATTAAAAAATTTTGTTACATGATATTAAATATTTCTATAAAGGTTGATTTTTTAAATAAATATTTAAGATTTGATCTTTTTTCATACATAATCATATATAGTTGGAATACTTATGTTTAGAAACGTGGGATTTTATGATTCAAAAGTAGCTATGACACGATCCAAAAAGAAAAAATTAGACTACTTGCTGAAGTTAGATGTTCGTTTCGAAATTTTTTGGACTAAGTACCGTCAACACTATTTTATGAACAAAATAAATTTGAAAAAAAATGAAAACTTCGAATAAACGGTTTAGATAAACGGTAAACCAAACCAATGTTAAATAAAAAATTTATGTCAATTGTGAAATAATTACTTAAAATGAAATATAGAAAAGGTCGGTTTATAATTTTTGGCAATTTTATTGAAGTTATCTAATAGTAATGAACATGTTGTCGCCAGGAGAACCGGGCGACCACAATTTAGATTTTTTTCTAAACCAAGTCTTGTATGTAAGCAGCCACCCTAATAAAGCAAAAAAAGATGCCGCTAATTTTTGAGGCATATTGTTGAAATATAAAATTGAAACTATCATCGAAAAATCTAACATAATGATCAATACGGTCAATATCATTACAGTCAACCTGACTCTAGTTACATTTTCCACATACAGTTTTTTTGTTTTTTCAATTTGGTTTTCTGAAAGCTTTGAGCTTATCAACAGGTTAGGATCATTTTTGAATATCACATCGTGCAATCTTTCCCACGTAATGAGAGATCGTACTTCTTCTAAAGTCATGAGCATGCCGTAAAACAATACGAACAATCGGTCCGATACAGAAAAAGATACCCACCTAGAATAATTAAAAATTGTTACTGTTAATATTTTTAAATATTAAATTTTTAATTAATTTTATAAATATACTAAATCGACTTTTAATACAAGAACGGCATTGGTCACCTAGTTAGCTCAGCAGGTAGGAGTGCCATCTCTCTCGCTGCTATTACGCGATGGCATGGTTTGAATACTGTCTATCCGAAACTCAAAGACCATCATACTCGTGTGGTGCGGTGCTTGCGCGTGCATACTTAGAACAGCATGTGAGCAGCTCTGCGTTTGACAGAGCTGCACATAAAAAATTAAAAAAATTATCGCCATAATTGGCGAGTAGGCAAAAATCGTATTATATAGTTTGCTACTATTCATGAAGTGATATATCGATATGGTATCCATTTTCAAATAATTCAACGCTTTAAATATTTTAAAAATTTAATAATGATTATAAATATTAATAACTTAAAAAACATGTTATTTCAATTTTGCGTTTGATTTTAAACAAAAAATTACAACAATTAATATTTTTGATTGAAAAAGAAATTAAGTGCCGAGTTGGCAACAAAAAATATTTCTACCTTCCGGAACAAACGTCTTTATTGAAGCTGTTCTGGTTACCCCCAACACACAGTCCATATTTGTAACCAATTAATTCAAATATTATTGAGCAAATGTACCACCACATTGTTCCAAATGCCAGTCTCAGTAAACTTCGGTTTGTTCCCCACATTTCGCCACAAAAAAATATTGAACTGGTGGTGAATAATTTGAAAAAAATTTGAATCATTTAAATTTGTTTACCACTTAGCGCCATTTAAATTCTGTTAATTTTTGCGTATCATTGTTTATCGTATTATAATAAGAGATTAGGATTAGATGTATGATTCGAATGTGGATCATGAGAAGACGCATCTATTTATTGTCGACATAAATCAACAGGCTTGGATGTACACGTGGTTGTAACCAGGAGTGGGTAAAGGTTTAAATCCCTCTCGAAATTTAATAAAATCTTTTAAAATTTGATCTGCTTTTTGTCTGCTTTTTGCAGTTGCAAAAAATAGTTTAAAATTATTATCACTTGTTCAATTAAGTTGACATTCTTAACAAATGAATATTTCAACATTGTATTTGCAAATTAATTGCAACTTTAAAATTTGATAGCAGTATGGACTACAACAATGGTTATTAGTAAGTAATATAAAGCATGTTGATGGCTGGATTGAAATTAATGAGCTTTTAACGTCGATGATATATATTCCTGACGGTGATGTAAAACATCGCAAAAGTATTACAGAGCTAAGATTTTTTACCTCAAATTTGGGAAAATTAGTCGCTTCGAATTATTTATTATTATCAGCAAAAAAAAAAGAAACAGTAATTGAAGCAAAAAATCCGGTATAGAAAGCTAGTTTTGCTTCAGATAAATCTGCTTCTAAATCCGCTTTAGAAAGCCTAAATCGGTGGTACTAAATGTTTCCTCTGAATATTACACTCATCTTCATATTTTGGCAACTTTGCCAATATTTTCTGCTGCACCAGGAAAAACATTTTCCAGTCTATGAACAATTTAAAATTATATCAATAGAAGACTACATCTGAAAATATGCTACACGGACTGGCTTTAATAAACAATCTTTACAATTCATTTTAGTTTAAAGAAAAGAACAATTTTGTTATAAATTAAGTTGTATATTATTTATACTTTTTTTCTTATAATAAATAATTATAGATTTTAATATATATCTATAATTTGTATTGTGAGAGTGCTTTCTCATTTTTATTATATTGTTGTATTTAGGCCAAGCAAGTTGTGTGTCTTCGGAGTCTGAACTTTGTAAAAAGTTTAAAAAATATATTTAAATCCTCCCCAAACTAAATCCTAGCTAAGCCTATGGACGTACACAACATTTTTTTAAAAGAAATTATAAATAACATTTTCAATAAAACTAGTAGAAAAATCTATACTTATTAATTTTGCCGATAAAACGTCAAGAAATTTGTTTATCCAAACCTTGTGTAATAAATGAAGAGAGCATTGAGGCCACTTGTTATTGTCCAGGCATATTTGACAAAATATTGATTTGCAAAGCTATTCGTGTTTGAAAGGAAGTTTTTTGGAAGAGGAAAATGATCGGTCGCCATAGAAACAATAATGATTGAACAAATGTAGAAGATTATTTTCACACGCAAATTGATTAATAAAATTTTTTTGCAAAAATGCATCAGCAAAACGTCGATAAATTTCCACACAGTTGTTGGCTCGCTGACGTTTTTCAATTTGATGACATTGCCGGCATTAGTCGTCGAGGCGTTTTGGTTGGTTTTCAAAGCTAGAGATTTTATTATCGATTTATAAGATTAAAATTGAATTAAAAAAAAAATTATGAACAAACTTGCAGCATTAATATGAGCATTATTCTTAGAGGAGTTTCTGCTCAACAGAAAAATAGGAGATGATGGATTAGGCACTCTCCAATCACGTTGCCTTTTTAAAAATTTATGAATAGCATTTAAACTTTTAATTTAGTAAATTTTAAAAATTTGAATTAGGCCTACTATAGTATCAACTTACATTGTTAAAAAAAATTTATATTCAATGAATAGACATTTTTTTCTTCAACTTCATTACAACATAAAGAATTAAAAAAACAATTCCAAATAAAAAATTTTATCAGCAACAACAGTGAATAATACGTAGGCTAATGTTTCAAATTCTGAGCAAACGCGATGCTTGCTTCAATTTGCTAATCGGTGCGCTTGCATAAATTAGGCTGCTAACATATTTAAATCTTAAAAACTAAACTTTGAAAGTTTTTGTTGTGAAATAACTGTTATTGAAAAGAATTGGCTTTTAACTGACAAACCATGTAGTTTAAATGTGGTTTAATAATAAAAATTTAATACCGCAAATTATGGACATTGCGAACATTGTATGCTACGAGCTAAACGAAAAATAAATATATATGCGCGCGCATGCATGTACATTTATATATACATACATATATATATGTTGTATATATATATATATATACATACATATATACATATGCAGTAATTTATGAAATCTACCAAATATCTAGCGTTGGATAGTTACAATATATATATATATATATATATATATATATATATATATATATATATATGCGCATATTATTATTATTGCTAATATTATTGTTACTATTATTAAAAGTGTTTATTTATTTTATATAGTGCCAATATTAAACAATAAATTTTATCAGAAGTACTTTCATTAAATAAAAACAAACCTGGTAACCAAGTGGTGGTGGTGATGGTGGTCATTAAATCTCAATTTTTAACATCCAGATTTTGTGTCGCGTTTAGTCAATCTAGCAACCAAATACTTACGAACCCGCCCATTTAGAACTCTGAGCAATGTGAACATCAAAACAGCAATCTTGTGATTATTCCCTTTTATATTGGGAACCAGTGAAGATTTCGCAGAGTCCGCTTCACGTGGTCAAATTTTAAGGCCGCTAGCGTAAGGTCATCAAACAACAAGATCGCATACCACAAAGATCGCAAAGCAATAAGGTCGCTTGATAATAATCGATAATAATAATAATAATAATATAATGTAATATTAATATAATAACAACAATAATCGACCCATAAAAAATCTTAACATTCTATTACTGACGTACGACTTTATTACTCGCTCTAAACAACCAATCCATGCACTACTGTTTAGAGTATTACAAATTTCTTCGATGCAGTTATTGAGAATCTACCTGGCACAAACAACGCAGTGGAGGGTTGATATCGCCGATTTAATGAAGTAGTAGGAGCACATCGTCCAACTATATGGAAATTAATTGATAGCTTGACTAAGCAGAAGTTCTATCAGGTAGCTATCAAACACCTCATTCAAAGTCGACAAGCGCCCGCCAGCAAAAAATTTACAGAAATTTTCGGTCAGAATCGCGGCAGCTGTTGGCAACTATGCCATGACCAATTATATCGATTATTTACGTCCTATTGAACGTAGTTTGAATTTCAATGTTTATAATTTATGGAACCCTTTATTTGTCCATGTAAAAATTTTCATGTAAGTTTTGTACAGACCAGCGATCATTTATTATTTTTGTCGACGTCATAATTTTAAATTAAAACATTATTCCTTCGAACATCGTTTTGTTGACCGTGTCATCGAATTCAGTGCAGTATGTACGTAGAATTTTAAACCTCAGAGTAATGGCGACATTTTTAACTTTTCTAACTTATAACGACCTTATTGTCTGGCGATCTTATTATCTGGCGATCTTAATGTCAGGCGATCTTAATGTCAGGCGATCTTAATGCTTGTTGACCAAACGTCTGGCGACCTTTTCACCTAGAACCAAATTTTTAACGTTACAATTAGTTTGGTCGTGCGATATTGGATTGACAGTAGTTTTGAAACACCATGAAAAAGGCTTTTACAGTAATCTAGCCTCGAGTGAATAAACGCTTTAGTCCAAGTTTTTAAAGTACTTTCATTTAGTGAACCTTTTATAAGCCTCATCATCTAAAGTTAACGGAGACACGCACCGTTTAACAAATTTATATGCAGTTCTATTTTTATAGTAGGTACTATCAAAAATTAAACCAAGATTACAAGTAGTCAGACCTCCTTATAACGAACTTCTATGCAACGACAATCTCCATATAACGAATTGTTTCATGCCTCTTAGAATTTTTCATATAAAACTGTTTTGATAGAACGAAAATCTTTTTTTATAACATTCTGTGAAATGATATGAACGGTATTTTTGCATTCTTTTGATTTTTTGGAGCCATAAAAAATGATTAAGAGTTTGATTTCCACAGATATATAGCATATAAACACCTTTTGAGCAATAAGAAATTTTTTCCCGAACAAGTACTATAAATCAAAATTTGTATATAGCAATTTTATTTCCTGGATCAATCGTTGTACGGAGATCCAACAGTAATTGAATGCTACTCTTGCTGATTTCAATCGAGGTGAAATTTTAGTTATTTGCTGTCATGTATCAATTGCCAACAGCTGGGTTTTGCATTGATTCAATTTGAAATTTTAGTTTACACTTGATCATCTCAGAATTTATATATATAGACATTCATACATATACACACACATAAATATATATATATATATTAATGTGTATATATATATATTTATATATTTATGTATAATATATATACATATATATTTGTTGTTGTCCTAATACATTAGATATTTATTACTATTTGATATTTATAAGGATAAATAAATATATATATATATATATATATATATATATTTTCTGTTACGGTCTCTAATATATTAATTATTAATCTGGCACATATATTGCCATTTTTTTTTATGTGTCACCCGTTTTAAGACTGCTATGTGTGCCAGGCGTAGTTTTAAACGGTTCCAAGTTACTAGTGGCGTGGTTATATTAACTAAAGGCAACGATTTGTTGAATGTTTTATACTCGTGTCCAGGTTTACTTTCGTGGATTTTTTGTTTCAGTCATGCTGGTTAGGCCGCCGCTCGATTCTGTGCGTCCTAGTAAAAAAGGATCTAGTGAAAAGCAATCTTTTCTGATTCATCTAAAAAAAATCGCAACAATATGCTACAATCGGGTGTTGGCGCGTTTATCCTCTGACATAAGGACGACTGCCATCGTCTATGTTTCGTTGATCTTGGTGGTTTCTCTTATCACCGACTATTGGTGGAAGGCTCCCTCGACGTATTTTTCGAACAAAAGAAACTTTTTAAACGTTTATTTTGTCAAATTCGGTTGGGGATGGACGCTTTTGACTGTTGGAAGCTTGGTTGCCTCAACAAGGTATCTATTATCCATATTATAATTTAATTTATGTATTTGGTTTGACTAATATTTAGTTAATAATTAAAAATAAATATTTTCTGTATTTTCTCAATTTATTTTTAAAAAATAGTTTTTTATAATGAGATTTAGAGATTAAGACAATTAAACTCTTCAAATTATAATTATTCATAATCATAATTTAATAATTTAAATTTTATTGGCTTTTTTCTATCATAATTATTTATTTTATATTATGTCATTATAACATTATTTGTCAGTTATTTTATTATTAGTAATGAAATAATTTATATTAGTGATTAACCTTTATAGTAAGAGTCATTTTATGGTTATCTCTCATTTGCTGTTTTCAGTCTTCTTTAATTAGTCAATTTGTTTTTTTATAATTTTGTATCTATATTTTATATAATCTTACTATATATTCATTTCATGCAGCTACATAAGAAGTTGTAATGCATACATTGTGATGATTAATCTTTGTCGATTACTCTTCAGTACGTTTTGGTGGTATATATGTGTTAGTTTCATTGATCATGTAGCTGGTAGTTTTGGTTTCTGTTCTGGCGAACTAAGTTACAAGTCATCTTGCTTGAAAATTAACTGGAAGAGTTTGGATATATCAGGTCACACATTCTTACTTTTATTTAATATTTTCATAATTTTAGAGGAAATTAAAAGTTTTGACGGTTGGGATAACATTCCAAGTAATATTTCATTTACTCTGAAAAAAAGAAACTCAAAATTATCTTCTAGCAATGTAACTGTTGAAAATGCTAAAAATATTTTCTATAAATTTAGTTGGCTAGTTTACTCACTAATTTTCATACTGATGCTTATGTTCATTTTGTGGAATTTTATGATTATTTCAACTTTATTATATTTTCATAATTCCCTCCAAAAGTTTTTAGGTGCTTTGTTAGCTGTTTTAGGTTGGTTTTTTCAGTATAAATGTTTGTTTGCTATGAACATGTTTTCGTTTCTTAGATTGCCAGAAAAGTGTGGATTATATTAGAATTTTTTTTTGTTGAAATGAATTTAAAATTTTTGTCTTATGTGTTTCTGTATTTAACCTAAAAAACTGTTTAAGAAAATTCAAAATTAATTTGTATCTGGAGGTTTCATGGCCAATGATTCCATTTTAATATATCTATAAATATAAATTGTTGAATCTTTTTCATCTTTGTTATTATATCAGATTTTACTTATCTCTTGAAATATATCTGTTAGATATGTCTATTCAAATGTAAATTGTGGGCTGAAAACTAGTAGTTTGAAGTTGCGTGAAGTGCTTGTAAATTTAATTATAAGACTTAAGTAATTCAAACAGTTGTAAAAGTCACGTGACACGGCATGTGACACGTTTACTAGCAGTTCGGTAGCTATATAAACAACGCCAAAAGCAAGATTCGAGAAGACAGAGAGAACAGAAAAGACAGAGAAGACACAAGAGAAAGGAGAACAGATAAGAAGACAGAACAACAGTTGACGTAGAAGTCGTAAATGTTATTTACGTAGTTATTTCGATTAATTTATTGTTTCTATTACTGCCGGTATTAAATAAACGTTCAACTTAGTTTGCGTTTAAAGTAGTTGTGTTCATCTATCGGAAATCTTGAACTTATGGATAAACGAACTCTTGACTATCGTTGGAAGCTACAATCCGGTGTTGGAGATATAGCGAGTATTGAAGCTATAACATCGGTGTTGGTAGTTACGAGATCGAGGAGGTTACAACATTTGTTTTAGAAGTGGGATCTTCAGGAAATTACACACCGGTAGCAAAAGTAAGATTTTGATAGCTGAAACTCACTGCAGTAAAAAATACCAGTACTGGAGAGCTCAATGTAATGAGTCTGACTAGAAAAGCTTAATTATTGACGATTAGTTGTATTCCTTGATTTACCTGTCGATTAGTTACTGCGCTGTATTCTAACGATTTGACCGATTGAATAAACGAGTTTCTGGTAGAGTTCATCTAAAATAAGTCTGTTCAGAAGTCAAGAATCCACGTAGAGTAATCGAGTGAACGAATAACCATACCCTACAAGTTCAAGGGGTCGGTTATAACAATATATAACGTTGACCTATGCACTATTAAATTGTTACACGATAATTGTAGCGGATTGTATACTATTACAATTACAAACGGCTAATTTTAATATTCAAATATTCATTCACTCCGCTTTCTCGGATTTCAGTTACACTAATATGATATGAAGGCTTTTCACACAATTTATATGACAATATGGAACTATTTAGTTGCAACCATTGAACGACTCATGAGAATTGAACTTGATCAAACCTTTACCTTTGGAGCGTTTGCGTTCTTTCATTGTATTTTAGCTGTTGCTGTTATCGTTCATTACTTTTAGTTTCTTGCACCAATTGTAACCAAGGAAGGTATAGCAAGCGACCTCTGTGTTATCTACACATTTTTTAAATTATCAGACACTCCTTTGTACAAACACGGCTAGCCTGGAGGATACAGAAAAAAGAAACTCTAACCTTAACCCTTGCCATGCTTTGATCATAATGGATCTTTGATCTCGATGTTATTTCCGATTCCAGTAATGTTTATAACAGGAAAAATATAATGAGAATACCAGTAAAAATAGCGAACTACAAAATACGACAAAAGAAAAATGTTTTTTGTACATGCTATTTTGCTTTTTGTCAATTTAAAATAAATTTTCTTGTTTATTAGATATTTCAAAATTTAAAATAAGTCGACCGAAAAAGCGATTTTTTGTGTGCCTTAAGTTGATAAAACCTTAAATTTTAACTGAGTTAAATATTTTGGTGTGTGTTAGGAATGGATAAACATCAGAGGAGGGCGTATTAAAACATCCTGCGATGAAAACGGCTACCTTTAATACAGATCATTACATGTAATCAGTTCCAAAAACTTGTATTGATAAAACGCAAACCAAGCTAAGTATGAAAGCTAAAATAAAAATGTATTTCTTTTTTTTTATTAAATTATAAATTTTGGGACAACCTATGAATGATAATTTTATTATTTTTAATTATAATTTTATATTTCAGTGAGGAGAATTAAGTGTAGGTATCATTTGAAAATGTGGGTAGTCAGTCATTCATTCTCATTGATGGCTGTATTCGTACTTTATTTGATATTTAAATTATTTAAGTATAAATATTTAAGTCAGGAATGTTATGTCAATTAATATGTGAGTGATGTTTATATGGGCTTAGCAAGGTACCGCACCAACATAAAATATTTATGGGCTCCACGGACCACATAGAGTTCCACCCTTCGATAACGGAATTTTCGGAGTAATTAAAAAATGTTTGTTTTGTACATCACTATGTGTGTGTGCGTGATCGCGGCTGTGGTTTAGTGGTCAGAGCGTTGGTCAGTGACGTCAGCGTCAGTGGCTTCGAAACCAGGCTATGCCATATTATCCAAGGTTATCATATCGTTGTATATGGTGCGGTTGTCTGTGCACGTCGTTTGGGTAGCGCCGTCGAAATGAAATGTTGCATGTGGACAAAATGTGCCTTACGCAGTATATAAGTTTCAAATCTTATTTTCAAAACGTTTGGAAAAATAAAATAGGTTGAAAGATAAAAACGATTTTATTTAATTTTTTAACAAAAACATTTCAAAGTTTTGCAATAGTTTGTAAAAGAATTATTTTGTTTAAAAGTATTCTTTTGATTGGATGTTGCAGCTGCCAATAATCTTGGCAAGCACAAACCTGCAGTTCAGCTTTCGACACACCTTGACCAACACGATTTCGTTATTTTGTCCACGCAGAAATCATAACGATATATGTTCCATTCCCATGTCTCCGGGTTTTTCTGAGAAGTAGCAACGTTAGGCCCGTACCACACGTAAAGTTGAGTTCTGTTAAAATATTTTTTGCTCTGTGACAAGCTGTAATTATGATCCGTAGAAAAATAATATTTTAAAATGCCTGGTCACTGCCCTGAGTTGCCACTCTGCATATTTACTCAATAGTATACTTATACAATATAGTATACAATATTTACTCGAACTATAAACTGACTAGACTAGTCTTGTACAATGGCTAAAATAAAAATTCGTTTTAGTTATTATAAAAATCAAGTCAAGATATCAGAGTTTTATTAACAGTAACAACAATATATTTTCAACTTCAATATATTGTCGAATGAAACACCTTAATTCACTACTTCATAATCTAAATGCACATTCATAATGTTGTAAACCCTTACCCTAAGTCTTATAAGCTATAGCTTTGATTTTTCATTTATTACACCAATCAGGATCAATCGTACTGTTTAAATATTTCTGCAATCTGATCGAATCATCATTTTTTTTTATTAAATTAAACAACGTGGCATAACAGGCTTGTAGGTTCAAATTTGAACCGTCGTCTCCCTCGCACTCATTGGACATTTTTAAAAACACGTTGGTAGATATAAAATTTTCCTGTTCTTCCCGTTTATGGAGGGTAAAATATATGCGCATTTGTCTTAAAAAGAGCGTCTGGATAATTAGCATATGTGCCGCTAAGGGGTAGTTAGCATAATTATTATGTATATGTTCCGTTCAGCTATCGAATTCAACTTGATTCTTCTTGAGCATTAAATTTATACTAGTTATGTGAATTTATATAAAAGAGAATTCAAAGATTAGGACGGCCGTCTATAGCCACAGTACAGCGAAGACCGCTAGCAGTCCATAGTTTAGACTACAAAATTGTTTAAGTTTTCCATCACAAGTCGTTTAAATAAAATTTTGCAAGCACTAGGTGTTGATTTAAATTTGCAGTTTGGTTTTTGATTGCGTTGGTTTAATCCTATATTGTTTGCTGATATAAATTGTATAATATAATAAATTTTATACTATAATGGGTCGATGTTACAGGTTAAGACGTTTTAAAGAGAAACATTCAAAGTTTTTAAAGTTTCCAAGCGACGTTAATAATCATGTATCAACTTTCTTGAAGTGGATGTCACTTAATTTTGGTTCGACTCCTGTCGTTATGAGAGATTTCAAAGGCGAGGATTTTTTTAAATTTTTTAATAAGCTAATAATCTTCACTTTTAACTATGAAGGAGGTTGAGATTTTCACAATTTTATTTATATATATATATATATATATATTAATGCGGCTCTGTCAAATGCCACAAATGATGTGCAAATACAATAATTAATACATAGAATAGAATAGACTCTTCTATATTTAATTAGTTAAAGGTACACTATTATCATATACAACAGTGTACATAAGTATATAGGGTCAGACTAATTGGCTGACTTACATTTGGCTTGGCTACTTGCATGCCTAAGACAATGAATCACTATTTTTCTTAATTTATTGAAAAATTGTTTTAAATATAATCAATATATTATTAATAACATGTATTTGAATGAATTGTATTAAATAATGCAGTACAACAATATTATAAAATATGTAGTGGCTGACTTGATTTTAAATTTTAATGTACAAGGTATTTGGCTGTCTTTTCACAAGAACACAATTTTTTTAATTTAATCGTAATAAATTGTTATAATACAATAGAATCATTATTCATAAAATGTATTTGATCAAAAATTGTAATAAAGTGATGTGGTACATCACGACAATATCACAAAATATAGTGGCTGACTTGAGATGTTTGTTAACCTACGTTTTAATTATCAATAACATAAATTTAAACTGAAAACTAATTAAAACTAATTCAAAAAAACACTAACTGACTAACTAATTAACTAAAATGTACGACAATTGAAACCTACATGCTCCCTCAATATCTTCCAATGCTAATGCATATATCGCCAAATATATGCTTGCAGTGTAATGCTTTTATTTAGAATGTCCATTAAATTCATGCTCTACAAAAGATCAAAAATAATATATCTGATAAACTTAACAGGAAAATACTTCAATCCTTGGTGTTGTTTTTTGATAATACCTACATTTTGCCAACTTTTTCAATGGCTTTTTTCAGCTGGTCACTCAATCTAAACTGATAGCAGATTATTAAGTTTTTAATGTAATGTGTTGATTGATGTCCCACCGTTTTGTTCTGTTGATAATAATCAACAGTATTTTTTTATTGTTTTTACATGCTTTTGCAGATACAGGAAGAGGTTTAATGGCTTCCAGAGACATATCCCCGAACAGCATTGTCATTTCCATTCCAGAGAGATTCATCATTTCAACAAAATCAGTAGCTGAGTGTGCCATCAAGGATTATATCATCAAGTACAAGTTATTTTTAGGCTTACAAAAACTTTGTAGCTATTTTATCTAAGTTCATCTCTTTAGTTCCTGCAAATAATACTCTTCTAGGCAGGATATCAGATGTCAGGTTTTATTGATAAAGTAGTGGATTTCAATTTTCTGATTTCGAAAATGCAATTAAATTTTGTTGCCCATAATTTTGGAAAAATTGTCTGAAAATGCCATCTTTTGGAACACATTATAATCTTTCAGATAACATGTTTGGATGGCATAAGTGATATTACCATGTATTGGCACGCACAATCATGTACATATATAAAATGGGCCTGAAAATTATGTAACCCAAAAAATATGAAATCAACATAAAGTATATTATTTTAAAACATTTTATTTTTTATAGTAAATGTTGCAGGTAAAGACCAAGTTTCATTCTAAAAATAATTATCTGCACCATATATATAGCTTCATTGAAATAGGAATATGAGCCTACAAATTTTTATTTATTTATTTATTTCAAAAATTTATAAAGCGCCAATTAAAAAAAAGAAAAAATTTCAAAAGCGCTACTTTATAGTCGAAAGAATAAACAATTGTTTGAGTATGTGTACATAATTTTCTGATTATGTACACAAAAAACAAAAATCAAATCGAAAACAAATAAGTCTTGAGATTCTTTTTGAAAGCATCCATGTTCATTTCCGGCTTCTTCAGGGACTCTGGTAGACCATTCCATAACACTGGACCCGCAACAGCAATCCCTCGTGCACCAATACACAAGTGAGCACTGTTTACTATCATTAAATTTGAGCAATCACTTCTCAAGCGAATGCCATCTATGGTCACTGATTTTTTCTTGATTATTTCCAACAAATATCTGGGCAAGATTCCATTCATGGCTTTATACATCAAGATACACATTTTAAAAATTATCCGTTTTTCCACATTCAGCCAATGAAGATCTTTTAGAGTCTGACTCACATGATCGAAACTTCAATCCTCCAACGATAACCTTCGCAGCTCTATTCTGTATGGATTGCAGTACTTTAATTGATTTCTTTGGGAGGCCATGAAACAAACTATTACAATAGTCCAGCCGCGAGTGAATGAAAGCATGAATCAATGTCTGTGTGGCTGATCTATCTAAATAGCTTCGAATGCGATATAATCTGTGCAACTGATATGTACATGACGAAGAGAGCATTTTAAAGTGATGTTTCATCGATAGATTTGAATCCAAGACAAAGCCCAAATTTGTTACGCTTTCACTGAATTCTATCTCTTGGCCACCGACATTTACCGAACTGATGTTAATTTTCGCTAACTGCTGCCGAGTTGCCACCGGCATAAACTTAGATTTGCATTGATTCAATTTTAATCCATTGTTCGACATCCAGGTATCAACCTCAGATAAGCACATTACCAGTCTTAGAACCTCCTGTTTGAATGATTCTGGTTTACTCGTCAACATAGCCTGGATATCATCGGCATATGCATAACACTTAAAATCATAAGATTCAATAATCTTCATAACTTCCGAAGTATACAGTATAAACAGGATCGGTCCCAATACTGAACCCTGCGGAACTCCATATGAAATTGAACCAACTTTGGATGAAACATCACCAAATCGAACAACCTGCGTTCGTCCGACCAAATATGATTTAAACCATTCATTTGTTACTCCAGTTATTCCAAAATCATTACTTAGTCTATCCAATAAAATTTGGTGATCCACGCAATCAAATGCAGCACTCATATCCAAAAAGGTTAAAAGCGATACATTCTGGCAATCAATGGAGGCATAGAGGTCAGACAAAATCTTTAGCAACGCAGTTTCTGTGCTATGATAACGCCTATAGCCAGATTGATTGATGGGCATCAGATTGTGCAGTTCTAAATACGTTAAAAGTTGCTTAGCTACCACACGTTCAACAATCTTTGAAAGGAAACACAAATTTGATATTAAACGATAATTTTTTAAATCTTCTTTATTGTCTTTAGTATTTTTTAATAGAGGAGTCATAACGGCATGTTTACAATATGATGGAAAGATACCAAGTTTTAAACTTGCATTGATGAAACTTGTGATGAACGTAAGGAACAAATTAACATATTTCTTCAAGACATGCGTCGGAATAATATCTAACATGCATGTTTTCGTTGGTGATTTAAGTATAAGTGTTTTAATTTCAGACTCTGAAACTTCAGCAAAACATGTGAACAAATTATCTCCATTAATTCTACTAACTCCAAATGCCTGCTTCGTTAAATCTCCAATTGTTGCTTTAATCGTATTAATTTTCTCTTGAAAAAAAATCAAAAATTGGTCCGATGTCAAATCATGTGAAACATTACATTTATTATCTTTACACGCGATCTTGTTGAATATTTTCCACAGATTTTTAGAGTTGTTATTTTCATTTATTAATTTGTTCCAATACTGTTTACGTTTTTTAGTAAAAAATTCTTTTTTTGCTCTTAGAATATTACGCCATTCATTTTTATATATCAAATTATGATTTGATCTATATCTTCTTTCCAACTTTCGGCAACGCCGTTTGATTGCTAGACACTCCTCATCAAACCATGGTTCCGATACATCAACTCTAAAACTAACTTCATGTAAAGGAGCAACTTGATCAACGAGGGTCTTAAGCTCGCTATTAAATAAGTTGAATTCCCTTTCAACATCATTGCTTGCACATGGCTTTGACAAAGGAAATTCTGTAATTAATTTGACAAACTTTTTCTCATCAATTCCTTTCCATGATCTGATTAATTTTTTCGTTCTCACAGGATCAGCTTTCATCACTGGCATAGTCGCATGAATCAAACCATGGTCCGAAAATACACCGCTTGGAAAAATCTTGCAAACCTGAACTGGAAATCCTAGTGAGCTTACAATTAAATCAAGAGTTCCCCCCAAATCATGCGTCGACCCATTAACATTATTTACCATTTGAAACGTATCAAATACCTCTAGCAAACTAATGGTGTGAGCATCATCAGTTCTTTCAACGTGTATATTAAAATCACCAGCTAACAAAATACGCGTAGTCAAAATTGAAACATGCTCCATCATGAAAACCAATTCCTGGAAAAATATCGTCTTTACCTGCTGTGAACCTGGTCTATATAGAGATACTAACACCTAATCTATACCATTAATAAAAAATTTGATAACCTCGAAAATGGAAAAACATGGAAGGTCAATTTTCTTGTATTTGAAATTTGATCGAAAAAATATGATTAAGCCACCATGATACGGATCGTATGGTCTCAGAAAATCCAAAAAATGATAACCAGATGGCATGGCCAATTTTATAGAAATATTATCTGAGTAACCGTGCCATGTTTCAACAAGCACCAGAAAATCCAAGCCTTCGAGTAATATTTCACGTACTGCATCACTTTTTGATAGAATAGATCTTATATTTAATAGTCCCAACAACATCTGCGGCTTAATTCTTTTCAAACTATTAGTCCCAACAACATCTGCGGCTTAATTCTTTTCAAACTATTTGCATAATCTTTACAATCATTACCATAATCAATTTCGTCATTAGCGCCTCCGTTATTACCATTTTCATTTCCATCACTACTACCATCATCGTTAACACCATAATCACTACTACTATTTCTACCATTATTATTATCATTACAAAAACATTTGATATTACAACTGAGTTTATTAACTATGATCCTTGATACGCCATCATTGATACCACAACCACGCTCATCACCATCATTGCTATCGCCAATGTTTTTACCATAATTTTCATCACCCCTATCATGGCCGTAACTACCATCATCACCTCTATCCTGACCATCATTGCAACCTAACATGCCACCAATATTATAACCAATACCAACATCACCATCACCACCATTACCACTGCCACCATCACCACCATCCCCGCAATTTCCGCCACCATGTCCACCATCCCTGTCATTTCGGCCACCATTACCTCCATTCCGACTATTATTACAACTAAACATACCACCAATATTCCTCCTGTTTCTGCCACCACCACCTCAATCTCGTCCATCACCACAATAAAATATGGTACCGGTATTACATCCATCATCACAAATACCATCATTGCCGCCATTTCCGATATCATTAACACCATCATCACCAATATTCTCGCTATTTATAATTATAATGTATGTGATTGTAACACTTGTAAATATTAGTTAAAAATTATCAAAAAATTTCAATTTTATAAATTGACGCTTTTGAAGTTTTAATTTTCCGGCATCGATTTCTCATGTTCATTTTAGTGTATTTACAATGTCCATGATATAAGGTATGTCGACAATATTTTTTTGAGATATGTGTTCAATAACAACGTTTTTGTAGTTTATTTTGACCTTGTATTAAAAGAAAAGTAATTTAAATTTGATTACATTTCTCTGAAGCTTTACTGGAACTCAGGAGATTTTAGATTTACATTACTAAGATTAAAAACTGATCATATTTTGTCTATCTTTTAGATCTGGAGTGAGGTTGTCACCTTTGGAAGCACTGGCTTTCTTCGTAATGTATGAAAAATCTCTAGGTTTGAATTCAACATGGTTTCCATACTTGAATATGCTCCCTTCAGCTTATTCGTTGCTTCATCTATGGAGCGATGATGAGTTGGAACTTTTGCCTACCTTCATTTCATCATCAGTTTCGTGCCAAAAACAAGATGTTAAATGTTCATATGAAAAAATTAAAAAAGTCATAATGTTGATGTGTAATCAGCAAGTTATTTCAGAGTCTCAAATCGAAATACATTTTAATTTTTATCTTTTCCAATGGGCATTGTCAACATTAATGACAAGATCCGTCTACATGAAGCAAAAGATTTCTTACAACTGGTTGACTGCTGATGCTGATGTTTGTGCACTCGTTCCTTTCTTAGATATGTTTAATCATTCTCCTGCTGCAAAGGTGCTTGATCATTCATGTTACATACAACTAATATTTTTTATTAATGTCTCGTTATGTATTTCGTAATTTTAATTATTTAATTTATAACAGTTTATAAATTTGTTTTCGTAGATGGCAGCTGGATTCAATGAACACAATCAACATTATGAGATTAAAACATTTGACTCCTTTAAAAAATTTGACCAGGTACCTTGTTTTATGACATAATTTTCAACGTGTGCTCATTTAATTTACATGACGATGATTAAACAGGTGTTCATAACTTATGGGTCTCATGATAATACAAATCTTTTGATCAATTACGGATTTTTGTGGCCAGATAACCCCAACGACTGTGTGATGATTCAATTTGGTTTGTTTTTTTTCTGATTGAAATAAAATAACTGACTGGCCATTTTGTAACTGGAAAATGTTAACTATTGTACTTCTATGTGTGGAGGGTTTTTGATTCTTGTTTTCAGAAGTTTATTATTAAATTTAAATTATTTAGTAACATTTATGGTTTTAAATTAAAATTCGAAATAGCACTGTTTTTGAAGCCTTTAAGGTAGAGAAAGTCACATCGTTTCAATATCTAGGGGATGTTCTAGATTGTGCTGGAACAGCTGCTGAAGCTGCCGTTCGAGCACGCATACGTGCAGCCTGGAATAAATGGCATCTCTTTGCCTCTGTATTGATGTGGCGTGACATCCCACTACCACTACGATCAAGACTTTATAAATCTGTGATACGTCTGGTGTTGTTATATGGTGCAGAAACATAGCCAATGACAACCAAACTGGAACAACAACTTCAACGAACCGACATGAAAATGCTCCGATGGATGCAAAGAATTAGTCTGAAGGACCACATCAAATCTACCGAAATCCTGCGTCGTGCTGGTTTAGATGATATAAAGGACAAATGCCGGCAACACCGTCTGCGGCGGTTTAGTCATGTCAAACGAAGTGGAAACAGTGCCATGACTTCTCTTGCAAATGTTGAAGTACCTGGCACACGTCCCAAAGGCCGTCCAAAGAAGTCCTGGTCGCAAACCATCGAGCAAGACATGAAAGCTCTAAATTTAAATGAAATGGATACAACTGATCGTCTAATTTGGCGCAAAAAGTTGATGGCAAATAAAACAACGTCCTACCTCGGGAAACCGGGTCTCTGGACGCAAAACGAAGATTGATTGATCTATGGTTTTAAAATGAAACTTTTGCTGATAAAAAGAGGTATTGCTAGCCCTTTCTGTTAATCTCACTCTGATATTGGGCTGTTATTGAACTATTGATATTCAAAGTTTCATTTATCTTATTATTACAGCTCATCTTTTGGAAAGGTTCAAACTGTCAGTTTCCTGCTTTATTTGGCATGAATACATTAACATTGCTGACAGTTAATTGGAAGAAGCTTTTTATTGAAACATTTTTGGATAGACTTAAAAATTCGACCTTGTTTTATGACAATTGATTTGTTAACCTTTGACGAAGCTTAAAAGCAGAATATGTAAAAATTGTCATAAAACAAAATAAAGTAATATCTAATGAACTTTTAAGCTTTGTTGTACACTCTATTTTTTCATATTCATGCACTTTTGTGCATCATGCAGTGTCAATGCTGAAATAAGTTTCAGCATGTTTCAACAAATTTCAACATGTTTCAATAAGTTTCAGCAAGTTTCAGCACATTTCAATAAGTTTGAATAAGTTTCTTCTTGTCTGAATAAGTTTCAACATGCCTCAATATGTTTCAACAACTTTCAAATAGCTTCAGATTTAATGAACACTGCTGTTATCAGTTTTTCATTTCTTTATTTAAATTTTTTCTCATCATTGTTAAATATTGCTTTGCCCAAACCTTTGTAAATATGCCTGTATTTTAATGAAACATTTTTTTATTTTATAGAAGAGGTGATAGAAGCGTTTAAATCAATTTACGATAATGATCCATCGTTTCATTACAATCGCAACTTGAATGACATCAAATTGAACAGGTTAATTGATATTTTTCATCGTATTTCACTGATGTAAAAGTTCTTTGCAGTCTCAACTCAGTGCTTATTTTCCCTGATGAGCTTTTAAAGCTGTAACTTTACATTTTCTGGTAGCTAAATCATTCAATATACATTTACTTATTAACATTAACTAGATATGCTAAAAATCTGTTCGTATCAGCGGATGGATTATCATATAACGTCAAGCAGCTCATCAACCTACTCTGCTCATATGTGGAAAAGTATGTTTTTGTATTTATTATTTGCTAAATTAAATGTATATTGAAATCTTGAGTTTGAAACTGATTCTGATCTTCAAGAAGGGAAGGAATGAGAAAACTCAGAAGTCTCACATAATTTTTTGTAAATCCTTATTGGTAAAAGTGATTCAATTAAGTTTAACATTTGGTTGAATTCAGGTTGTATGGGGGTTATAACTATTGAGAAAAATGATAAAAATACATTCAAATACTGATAAAATTAGGAAAATTAAATAGAAACCATTTAATAAAAATAAAAGTTTATCCACATAACTTCACAGGGTAAACAAAAACTAAAAGCAATTAAACTGTTAATTGATAATATTTAAATTTGATTTGCTTTCATATATACTCTTGTACGTTAAAAGGTTAATTTTTCATTTTGTTTTTCAGTTCTTCAATTTGTTGCTTTCGAATGAAGAATGTTGAAATAGATTCCATAATTTTTCCAAAAGGCAGAGAATTGATTAAAAAAATACTTATGACCAAGCTTCACAATTTTGAAAAGTCTCCCGATCTGTTAAATGTTTGAAAATATTCGTTTCAAATTTGTTTTGTATATATATTTTGATAACTTATTCAGCTTTTGGTCTGAAGCTTACTGTAGCCAAATTATGTTTTTGTTTATCAATTCCAATCAGTGCAGTTAGTTTATTTTTTTTATTAAAATTTTCAATTATTTCAAAGGAGAAACGGTTGTTGACTCAACACAAGAAATTAGCGCCTGAATTATGTTGCATCTATAGTCGCATTGTTTCTAACGCTCTCATGATCCTGGATTGAACAAAAAGGTACTAGCACTCCATCTACTTGTCATTTTTAATGAAGGTGAAGTTTGGGGTTCACAAAACTGAACTGAACTTCCCAAATGGAAAAAGAATTTGCTTTAAAAAGAATCATCAAGATCATCCAGAAAAATTGTAAGTGAACAAGATGGACATTAGAATGACACTTGACAGTAAAACTATTGACTTTACAGAAATTTTACGTTATACTAATGATTGTTTGATATTAATTTGTGCAAATGATAAATTGTTTTCAACTAAAAAAAATAGTTTTTTGTTTTTATTCTCTTCAGGAAAAACATTTATTTACTTCTTTAAATTAATCCACTATGTCCGAGTTAATCAACATATTTTCTATAACTCTGCTTATTCTAAAATATCAGAAATCTTTGTTATAATTTTTATGCAAGATATAATTTTATTGAAATCGTTAAAAGATCATTCGCCGACCATGTCGGGTTAGATTTGAAATCAAATGACAAATTGATTTACACCCGGCCCATTTGACTTTCGTTTTGCACGTTCTATCCTACTGTATATTCTCACTTAATTTCGGTTTATTTTTTATTTTTCCAGTATTTTGCACAACTTGATTTCATGTTTACACTTTGAAAAGTACCATTTGTTGTTGATAGGACAAAAATGGATTAAATTTGTCCCATAATGCAGATTCTTCCTTGCTGCGTATGTCATAATAGAGTGCTACGGAACTCGGGTATTGAAAGAGTAATATAAACCAGCCCAAAAACTAAAATTCATAATAGAACGACTTGGTCGGAAGTTAAAAGATTCTTACATTGGCAAAAAGCAGACGAAAATTCAATGCTAGGTGACAATTACAAAAAATTTTATTTCAAAAGTTAGGATAATGCTCTTATTCATCACAAACACGAAAAACAGCCAAATGTTGTTTCTTTTATTTTTACGAATTTCTAGACAAGCACTGCAACTCAATTGAAAAATCCGAAGGTCAAATAAAAGACGTAGAAAGTTCACGTTCACAACACCTCTACGTCGCATATAGCATATATGTAAAACATCACTCTGAAACTTGAAAATATACGTTATATAGCAGCGTATACGATACTTGAAATACATACTTATATTCGTGGATATATATATATATATATACGAGTAGATGTTTGTTCATTATATAGGTCATGGTGTACTAAAGGAATAAAATAACACGAATGGGCATACATATACGTATTACAATGAATAAAATTTTCCTGTAGACATCTATTATATCTTTTAAATTAAATGTTCTTTAAAAATGATCAGCATGCTAAAATTATATGAAAAGTGAAAATACTCAATACCAACACACATACACGCAAACAGACAGCATCATAAGGTTCGCAGGCACTTATAGAATATTTTCTATATTATAAATGTATATATAATTATAAAACTAATATGGAGCCATTTAATAAACACTCCAAAGCAATATATATATATATATATATATATATTAATCTTTATATTTGTGTAGAGTATATATGCATGCATCATATATACTATTTTCATTATTTAGAATGCTTCGCAAAGTTTGGCAAAAGTTGGCTTAAACTTGGACGTCGATGGGCCTTAACCAAGCTTGAAGCTTGCGATTCTCTTGGATTAAAGAACGCTCCATCATTAGCTTTTTACATAAAACTACAATCAAAACCACTTACGTGAGTAATTGATTTCTTAAACTATAATTAATTAATATATTAAACATTAAGCAGTAATGTTGTTTTTGACCAAATTGATGTGTTGCTATGTTACACGAACAGCGTTTGTTTTTTAACATTATCTGGCTTAACGCCTTAACCTGATTGTTTTTGTTGGTGTAATTTTGTTTTTTTTTACTAAAATTGTTTTCATGTACAAAATATATTAATTATCGATTGTTATATAAATTCGTATTTGGCGTTTTGAATTTTACGCTGGAAAATTTAGACCTTCACCTCCTTAGTTCCATTTTTATCACTCAATTAATGTTTTGATTGGAACATAAATAAACAATCGTCAGGTATCAACATCTGTTAACATGTCTTCGACATCACCAGCCAGCGTTTCAGGATTGTTCTCTCAAGTGATTCCCGATGACGTGCACACTCACGTCAAGATCTCCATAATCGGAGTCGGCAAAGTCGGAATGGCTGTTTCCTTTTCTATTTTGCTGCAAGTAACTACATTTCCCATCCGCAACTTTACATCTCATTGCCAAGCTTTGTAATTAATTTTAATTAATAGGCTACAAATTTCTTTTTAAGATTTACTTGACCGTGCGGTTGCGATAGCCAGTTGTTTAATTAATAATTTTTTTATAAACTTTGATTCTAATTGTGTGACTATCTGCTTTTCTCAAAAACACGTTTTTAAGGGCATTGTATCGGAATTAGCTTTGGTAGACACGCAAAAAGACAAGTTGTTGGGCGAGATGATGGATCTTCAGCACGGACAAGCATTTCTGAGAACCATCAAGATACAGGCTGATACTGGTAGTTTTTTTTGATTAAATTAAAATTTTTCAACTTTGCAACAATAGTAACAGCATTGTTCATTCTTAATTATTTGCGAAAAAATAGTGGTTACTCATTGATCGTCCGCATATTAAAATAAATATTCAGGTCTGAGGATTGGCAGAGGTCGTTTAATACAGATAAATGGGAAGAAAAAACAAGGGCTTTAAATATCAATTGGGCAATAAGGAACTACAATCAACGCAAGACCTTGGAGTCATCATCCATAAAAGAACAAAAACATCGAGGCAATGTACTGTGGCTGCGGCCAAAGGAAATCAAATACTTGGATTTATTAAAAGAACGGTTGTCAGCAGGGAGAAGTCGATCATTCTAAATCTGAATGAAACCTTGAAATCTATCTTGAATTCTGTGCTCAAGTTTAAAGCCCAGATCTGCAAAAGGACAAATCTTAAATACAAAAATAGATTGATAAAATGTGGATTGACAACACTGGAAAAAAGAAATTGATGCAGAGGAGATTCGATACAGACATACAAATTGATTACCAAGAAAGAAAAACATCGTTTACCGGTCAAATTTTTCAACTGGATAATAGAATAGGATTACGAGGCCACAGATACAAGCTTTCCAAAAAATAGAAAGTGCCGTCAAGCAGAGATTTCTCAGCAGTAGAGTGATAATCAATCAACGGAATCAATCAACGGTTTCAAGATCAGGCTTGGAAAGTTAGAATATTAGCTTTATTAGGACACTTATCTCGCAGTGGTTCTCACACAGACTTTAATCAGCTGAAAAACTTTAAATCTTGTTGTGTTGTTATATCCTGATTGTATAAGCAGCTTAATTATTGTTATTAAATAACGTATTAAACGGAATATGGATTTCTAACTTTTTTTATTTTGGGTTTAATTTTTCTTATTTTCAATTTATTTGAAAGGATTATTAAATAATTTGTTTAACTTAAACAATTTTGTTTTTAAATAATAATAAACTTCAGATTTTTCAATAACGAGAGGATCGAAAATATGCGTGGTCACTGCTGGAGCCAAGATTAAACATGGCGAAACTGAGGAGCAGCTACTGGAAAAGAACATAAATGTTTTCAAATGTAACGATTTGCTCATTAGTTACACATTAATGTTGAACATTTATCAATTTCTATGTCTTTTAATCTTCAAAATATTTTTATGCCTTTTAAAGTGTTTATATTATCGTTATGTAATTGCAGCTATCATCCCAAATATCATCAAATATAGTCCCGACTGCACACTCATCATCGTCTCCAACCCAGGTTATGTGTGTGTAAATGAATGGGAAAAAATAATTGAGTGAACAATTGTTATAAACCCTAGTAACCATGTATACTAAAGTTTGGTGAAACAAATCCCATTCAAACCAAATCCCATGTATTTCTCACAACATGTAATTTGTAGAGAAACATACGAAATCGGATTGGATTTCAACAGATATTTTATTTTTTTTTAAACTTATTTGCCAATTATTTTTTTATTTGTAAAATTATTTTAAGTAAAATTTATTATTTTACTTTGAAATACAATTTCCATTTTTTTTAAACAAACGTTTAATAGTTTCACCTTACTTTATTGAATTATTGGATAGAACTTTTGTACAAAATTTCGTTGCAATTTTTGTCGTCCTTTTTATCTCTTAAAGATGAAATAAATAAATTTAATTATTTTAAACAATTTTGTTTCACAAAATTTTTTTATTGTAATATTTAAAAAACTTCATTTATATTATATCTTTCTATGATAATAGACATGTAAGAGTATAATTTGTTGGTGATATTTAAATAATAAATCAAACAGTGGATATCTTGACTTGAAAATTTCACAAAATTTTTTTATTGTAATATTTAAAAAACTTCATTTATATTATATCTTTCTATGATAATAGACATGTAAGAGTATAATTTGTTGGTGATATTTAAATAATAAATCAAACAGTGGATATCTTGACTTGGGTGGCTTGGAAGTTGAGCGGATTACCACGCCACAGAGTATTGGGAAGTGGGACTATGCTAGATTCAAGTAGGTTCAGATTCCTGCTAAGTGAAAAGATAGGCATTGCTCCAAAAAGTTGCCACGGTTATATCATAGGAGAACTTGGCGATCACAGTGGTTAGTTTCAAAATTAAATTAATAAATGCATTGTTTTAACTGTAACACATTTTGTTTATGCCAACACGGTCAACCAGTTTCAACCTTTTAGTGATTGCTAGAAAATATTTCGTATGTTGGATGTTCTGAGTATGTTTACATCTTTTGAACTCACAGTCAAAAATAATATTATAAACAATACAGGGAAGTTATTTTAAATCGTGTACGTTAAAAAACATGTACGGATCTTGGCACACAGCAATGTGTGTTAGCATAGCTGTCACCAAAAGCAAAACATTTTAGACCTTAATAAATTAAAATTTGAGATTTCTAACATCAATGACAAAAATAAACCTCTTTTATTACTTTTGAAAAATGACGATGTACTTTTGCTTTGAGAGCATTATAGCAGCTAGTTTCAACTAAAACATTAATTACTATTTGAAAAAAACTGCAACTGCAATTAACCAACAGTTCCTGTGTGGAGTTCAGTGAACATCGCCGGCACAAGACTGAAGGATCTTCATCCTCTCACTGGAGAAATTAACGATCCAGAAAATTGGTCCGAAGTTCATAAGAATGTGATTAACAGGTTAATAATAGGTTGTAATCAATAGTTAACAATTAGTCTTATTCTTTAAACATCTTCCTTCATGAAATTTTTAACAAGAATAAAACTTTTTAGGCTTCTTTTATAATAAATAATAACAAATACTGAAATGTATTTGAACAAATGACAGTGCTAGTGAGACTGTGTCGCTAAAGGGCTACACTAGTTGGTCCATTGGTATTATGATATCAACGCTGGTCAACTCCATCCTTAAAAATCAAAAAATCATTTACGCCTTAACAACTTTGGCTCAGGTATATTACTAAATGCTTGATTTTATTAATTATTCTTTGGCTATTTTTACCTATAATTTACATAGTTTTGTCGAAAAAACTGTGTTGCTGATCGCTTGCTAATAAAATAAATTTCGTTCTACAACAGGGCTATCACGGAATAAAAGAAGAAGTCTTTTTGAGTTTGCCGTGTGTTATTGGTGAGAAAGGAATTGCAGCAGTATTCAATCAAAATCTGTCGCAAGATGAAATAGAAAAGTTGAAAATCTGCGCTCACAACCAGTTCAAAATTATCGAAAAAATTAAGATATAAGGTATATATGGCTGAAGATAAACATACCTACTCACACGTTAATATTGCTTGCTATTTTAACATAATATAATTTCTTTTATATATTTTTTTTTCTAACAAATTTGGTTATGCTTATGAAACGTCGAAAGTTATTAAAAAAATTGAATTTATACAGAAACATTTTCATTTTATCCGAAAAGTTTTCTAAATGTTTAAACAAATGTTGATGTTTGTATGAAAACATGTTTAAAGATTTAGTTTGAAAATAATGAGAAAGAAGATTTTTGACAAAATTTGTCGGCTGAGGAATGAGAGAAAGAGAGTCAATTATGTTACAACCTTTATAAGACCCTGAAGATAAATCTAGAAGAAAAAGTTTCAAGTTGTTTGAAGATGTTTTGATTTTTGTTTTGATTTAGTTTGTATAAAATAAGAACTTATATGTTTGAAATTGTTGACAAATGAGACAGAAAACTGTTGCAAACAAGGTTAAACTTTTGATGAAAAACCAACATCTAACAAATGAAAAATATTTTTTATATTGGCTTTGATAAAGATGGTTAACAGAAAAAGCCCAAGCATTAATCCTTGGGGTATTCCATTTTTTATTACGAGGTGATCTGAACTGTAACCTTCTATCACAACATACAGTTTTCTTTCTTTAATGTAGCTTTCGAACCACGAAGGAAGGCAACTTGTGCGTGGGCAAATTGTGATTTATTACGTCGAAGACTTCAAACAGGTAGACAACTGTAAATATTCTATCATTTAAATTGTTCAGTTCTGTTTGCAGGAATTACTAAACGGCTAGCTCCATAAAATGGTTGGCTTTTCCTCTAAAACCGTACAGACAGTCGTTTATTATTTAATCGATAAAAAGAAATGATTTTAAGAGGGGAATCATTAGCTTTTCTAGTATTTTAGAAAACGTTGAAGGAAGAGATATGGGTCTGTAATAAATCACAACTTTCTTCTTATATATAAGAATTATTTTTGATATTTTAAAGGTAGAAATAAATAAGCCTTGGGTCAAAAAGAGGCTAAAGACGTGGACTAAAGGTGTTACAATTTGGTTGGTTATCTGTTGAACCAGATTATTGGTAAAATTATCATCAGAAATACCTTTTTCCGTTCATTTTCCTTACAGTAGGGCTAGGGTTAAATAAATATTGTGTTTAAAATATTATTATTAAAAAGTTATATATTTAGTTATATATATATATATATATATATATATATATATATATATATATATATATATATTAAAGAGAATTTTGAATAAAATATCCGGCAAGGACACTAAAGCTGAACTTTGAGATTCTTTTAAGCAAACTCAATGAGCCACCTGGTGAGTTATTATTTTTTATGAGCTTTCAAGTTTTACGCTTTTAACAACTAGAAAATCACTTTCCACTCTCAAACTTAAATGCATCTGGCAGAAGCTTCTTCAATTAGCAAATCACACAAGATTCCATTCGAAGAGAAACATTACAGACGAGACGCAATCCGGGCATACAAAATTAATGATGACAGCATAATTATTAAAAGATTAACTAACTAACTACGGTCAAACCAAATGTAGAAGGTTTTAAAGTTTGCCTTCTGAAAATATGAGCCAAAATTTTAAAACGGTTGAAAGCATCGATCAAACGCAAATTGATAAAACATTCCACATATTAACAAAAAGAAAGCATCCGAAAGTTAGAGGCTTAGTTAGAAGTAGAGCAAACGTGATGTAATTGTAATGACTGAAGCTGTTTGACACGAAAGTTAAAAATCTGTTGTAAAGTTAATAAAATAAAACATAAACTTTAAATAAATAAAATTTATAAAAAAACTTTTACAAATTAATTTACAAATCTATGATTATGTCGAATTCGCCGTTTACACCAACAAAATTCTTTTCGCTTGTGGCTCTTTTGTTAATTTTTATGGAAAGCTTTAAAGTAGTTAAAAAAAGTTGCAGTGAAAATTAAGTAATATCAAACTACTTCATCTGCAGTTCTCATTTTAAATTTATGTCGAATTATTTAAGCCACCTGAAGAAATATATGGTAGACCGATTGACCTTTAGACAAAATTAATTTAAACGAGAGGGTCGATCAGTCATAAAATATTGATTGAACCGTAACTTTTCAACACATTTACACTTCCACAAAAATTGTTCAATTGACTAAATGCATTCTACCATTTATTCACCTTTGTTTTTCTGTTGGATTATTTGCTCATTAATTTTGTTTAAACTTTATTACATTTTTTATGTTCAACAACAGTGTTAAACTTAGTTAATAAAAAAAAACATAAATTTTTAGTTATCGAAATTTTTGTTTCTGAAAAATTCATAAAAATTAAACGCATAGTTAAAAGTTAAAAATTATTTCTTCGTTTTTTATGTATGACGACAATAAATTCGGAACGTCGGAGTGAGTCCAGTAGAAACAGCGTGAGACATCCTTTGAAATGAACAGTCAATGTTCAACGATCAATTAGTTTTGTGCATGACAAGTTTTTACTGAAGTAACTTTCTGTTTCAATAATATTTTGAAATGAATATTTTGATATCAACGTCAATTCATTCCCAGAAAGATGATTCAATGCGTGATAACTCTCATATTATGAGATTATGCTTGCCAACCACAGAGGTAGGCTATATTTTTTATAATTATTAATTTAAGTTTGCAGGAGAATTAAATCAATATTTTAAAATACTTCATATTCCGTCTGGACTTGAAAAATAGTTTTGAAGTGACGACTTTCCAGACATTTTCCTTTCACACTGATTGATTCTCACAGTCATCGATGTAGAGTCAAACTTTAAAAAAAATTCTGTCGTGTGGTTCGTGATGGATGGGTGTTGTTTCCTTTATTGGCCTACTAGTGTAATTGGCGTACGTTGTTAGAAATGTAAGAAGGTGAACCCCTATTGATAATCTGCAAAAGTTTCATTATCTGTTGGTGACCTGCATTAACACTTACATGAAATTTGTTAATTAACTCCTTCCTTGCCAACACAGTTGTCAGTTTAACCAAGAAATTTTTATTTATATAAGACTAAATGAACCAAAGATTATACAATTTTTCATTGGGGTTTATTCAGTACATTGCAATGACTTGATGAGAAACAATAACATGCATGAGACAGAGTGGTACGGTTTATCAAATTACAGACTTATATGGAGAGATTTTCTGAAATAATCTCACCACAAAACTCTGCGTCAGAAAATATATATTACAGTGAAGAAAATGGCAAATGAATCATATTGTTTGAGTGTTGTAACATTGTATCTGTTATATTAGCTTCAAAGATGAACTGTTGAAAATTGTTGGCTAGATGGAGGCAACTCAACTGTTGTTTGTGTGCACGCGCACGCATGTTTCAGCATGTACACAACAAATACAGTCCCCAAAAGTGCTTATTATCGGGCAATTACTGTCAAAGTAAGCAATAATCATCAATCGTTATATAAGAAAGACTTTGTAGTGTATGAATGAAGGCATGTGATGCATAGGACGGCGTACGTTGCGCGGCTGGGAACTGCTGTTTTTAATTTTCTGCATAACTTATTACCAACAGTTTGTTACAATTAATATTTTACTATTAAAGTTTCTATATTTTCAATTAATTTAATTATTTGTTGGCATTCGCCCACCACCACACTACGGCCCCATCAAGCGTGCACTGTTTGTTTACATAAAAACAAATGAAAGAAAAGAAATACGCCCTCATGAACTTCCGCTGACAACTTCCGATCATTAGATGGCGCAAATGTTGTTGCAGATCTCGTCCATGCGTGACTTGTTATGTGCAAGCTGGTGCGACGAGATAAGGCTGACAACAAGATGAAAGATCTTACTCCATGGGTGTTGTGCATGGTGTGTCTGTGTGGTTGGTGCACGCATGCAGTTTGGGGCATGGTGTTTCTTATGTGGTGCATGCATGCAGTTTGGGGCATGGTGTTTCTTATGTGGTGCATGCATGCAGTTTGGTGCATGCATGGTGCACCAACCCACTACACAGGTAGGCCGTTTGAAATTTCTACAATAACAAGAACATTAAATAACTGGTTTAAACCTGCAGACTTATTTGTTAAACGAGGTGTTTATAAAAAATTGCTGAAAGAGCTTTTATTTGAAAACAGTGTCGAGTGGTATTCTTATGGCAAGCATATGTAATGATTTACGGGAATTTATTATATTTAAGAATAAATTAAAATTCAGCAATTATAAGTTCACAAATTTGCCACATAATCAAATTATGTTATCTAATATGGGGTATCAAAAAAGTATCGAGGGGCTATCAAGAAAGTATCAAATTATCAAGAGAGTATCAATGTATCAAGTATTCTTAACTAAAAATCATTTTAACCATATCATTGATAACAAAACAACATTTATCTGCTCAAGAAAATTTGTAAGCCTACATTCTGCACATAAGAGATAGCGTGAGAACGTTATTGGAAATAGAATTCGAAATGTTGATAGTATAAAAATTCAAACTGCCTATTAAATGCTATTAAGTAACATGATTTATACTCGCACGCTGTCTGTCTGTATACTTGCCGTTAAAAATGTTGTATATAACTCTTTCCGTTCAAAATTCAAAAAAGTATCATGTTGCATCTGCTGGATTATGTCTGATAATGGACACTTCGCAACTAAAAACTCACTGGCGCTGAATTTAGAGCATCTCACTTTATTAACCGTTTATCAAATTCCAAAGGAACTCAAGTTTAGTTTTTTTAATATTGAAAAGATGTTCAAATATTTTGTTCAAACATTTGTCTAGCGTTCGTAAAGCAGTTACTTCTTTTTATGGTGGAATCGTCATAATGTACCTCTTTTTCTGTTTAGGTTAACAAATGAATAGTGATTTTTAATTAATCTCATCGGAAACAATTATGAACAGTAATAATTATAAACTAAAGTAATTGGTATACATTGTGGCGATCAAACCAAAATAAATAAATATAATCAAGATAATAATCATAATTATTATCTTGATTATATTTATTTATTTTGCTTCTTCTTCGGACGATTATTATCTCAATTATATTTATTTATTTTGATTTGATTATTACATTTATTCATTACTTTTGTTTGTGCTGTGATTTTTAGTTTAACTCATCATAAACTCAATTATTTCTTTAATCACATTTCTAGAAAAAAAAGTTTAATTTCAATTTTCATACCTTATAACTTTTTTGAACTTTAAGATAAGGCATCTTGTATAGAGCATACATTGCAGGGATGCACTTAATTTAAAAATTATGAAATAAATAAAAGGAAATAAATAAAAAAAACAAATAAAATGAAATGAACCAAATGAATTAAATAAATAAATAAATTTAATTAATAAATACTACATTGAAATGAATAAAAATATGAATGGACAAATTTATATACACGTCGTCCCAGTCGTTGTGAACATCTTGGCCAGATGAAAGTGTAAAGTAAACAACCAGTCCTAATTTTCGTCATCATAAAGATTTCATAACCTATCACCATTTCATCGTCATCATCATCATAATCATTACCACTACCACCATCATCGTCATAACTTCTCATCACCATCATCATACTATTATCGTCATCATCATCATCTTCCTTTTCATCTTCACCATCATATCAACAAATCCTACAAAAACAACTTTACTTACAAACCGCATACACCTGTTGAAGGCAGAGCAAACAAAGGCACACAAGCCCACGAACAACGCATTTGACACTGACCCTGTACAAAAATAAACAACCTTCTAAGTAATTACTTGCCAGAGATAATAGTTACAAAGAAGCTATTACTAACCATGTGAAACATAAACAACTTTCAAATAAATAAGTACGCAAATGAATATGTGTGTAGAGATAAATAAATAACATTAATTATGTATTGAACATTTTTAAAGAGCCAAATTACACGTATCTATTATCCAATATTTTAAAATTTTTAAACGAATACAAAAGAACATTATTTTATGGAAAGCCAGACATCTCGCGTTGCGCAGTGCATAAACGACGTTACTATAAAACTTAAAACGGAAAAATAAACACTACTAATACCCACATTAGTGAGGTATTGAATTACAAAATACACATACACACCGCATCAAGTCTGTTTACCAGGCATCCATCAATTAAGCTACCACTGACCCAAACATACTTTTATAAACTAATTATATCTTTCCCTGTTTCCCTATTATGTCTTTGTATGTCTGCGTCTCTCTCTCACACACACTCTCTCTCTCTTTCCCTCCCTCTCACATAAGCAACACTTGCACAAGTGCGCAGGTGATTACTTACGTTGTATGTGTGTGAGTTTGTATGTGTATAAGTTTGTATGTATGTTTGTGTGTATGTGTGTGAGAGTGTGTGTGAAAGAGAGAGAGAGAGAATGTGTGTGTGTGAGAGAGAGTGTGTGTGAGTGTGTGTGCACTTGTATAGCCTTATGTATTGTATATATTCCGAATTATTTGGTACATAGAATGAGTGTAAAAAATACACAACCAAAGAACATCCCATTCAAGCTGATAAAACCAGTAAACACTCAACAAACAACGCAAAAAATGTGCAGCTGCAAGAAGCATTTTGCAGGCCAATTACAACATCTTAACGACAGATGAATTAAAAACACAAAGGCAATGTTTGCTTAGTTAAAAATAAGCAACAAAAATCCCATATCATATCGCACCATAAATCACTACTGTGTACTTATTGTCATGCCATGCGTCGCCGGCCAACGTGTCTTTCCATTTTTCCTATGTATCATATAAATGAATGTATGTATATGTTTATATATTATATTATTATGAATGTATATGTTTATATTTATATACTACACCTATATGTATATATGTATGTATCTGTGTTTGTTAGTGTTTGTGTTGTGTGTGTAGGTGCGTGTGTGTGTGTAGGTGTAGGTGTGTGTGTGTTTACATGTGTAAATATTTTAAAGATTATTTGATTATTTGTTTGCATTGATATTAAACGCGACATTTGTTGCTTGAAACATTTAGATTAAAAACAAAGTTGCAACTGAAATAGTTTTTTTGTATTTTTTGTTAAATTAAGTCGAGGCAAACATCGTCAATAGTTACATCTGAGATATAGTTGAATACATGCTTTAGCGCTTTTGCATTGGCAATGTTTTTTTTAATAATTTCGCAGGTCAAGCTCTGAAAATCGATCATTTTTATGCTTAAAATGCTTTAATTTGACAGCCTTTTTTGACCAATTGATGAGCGAACGTATGTTTGTATTAATTTCATCTTTGAAAAACTTCGTCCATTACTAGCAGTGGTCAATGGTAAAGTCAAAAAAAGACAGTAAGAGATGACTAAATCAGAAAATCATGTTTTAAGACATCTTCCGGATTTTTTGCTACTCAAATGAATGTTTTTGAACATGATCTGCAAGGCAAAAACCTGTCTTGGAAGATCGGATGTTACATCAGTCTTGAACACTGTCGAAAATTTCATGGCTTGACGTTCCATATCTGCTTCTGGTAAGTCTATCAAGTGCTGCGGAAACAAAAATGAAAATAAATCGACAATTGCGTGATGAGGTTCAAATCCAGTTTTTAGTTGCCTAACACATACGTCAACAACTAGAAGATAAACATTAACTCTAAATGTATCGTAAGGTCAGACGAAAATCATTTGATATTTTATTTCATTTTTATCCGAGATTTTGTGTCCCAAAAACTGTAATAACTGTTCTCAAACAAAAATTTAATCATTATATTTGCAAAATAAGATCTTAAATTTTCTTAACAAAACAATTGAATTCGTTAAAATAACTTACCAACTTTTGTAGCAAAACGATTGCTACAATGGGAAAAAAATTTATTGACGACGACAATAATGAAATGTAGATGAATATGAATCTTACGATAAGAAACAAAAACTATAAAATTATGAACCATAGAAGTGAACATAATTTAAAATGGTTATGCATATAACAAGACAAAGATTATATTAATGTTTTTTCAGAAATATTAAATTAATTAAAAATATAAAATGCAGAATTTTGCTAACTTTTATTTTCATCTTTCGGAGGCCCCTTGAAACAGGAAGCCCAATTTCAACGAACCTGCTAAACCTGTGGTTTCTACGCCACTTATTTTGTATTAATAACAAAAAATTTCGGGTGTTTCGAATGGTTCAACAGTTTTATTGGGCTTCAGTTTGATAAACAGCTTGAACTCGAAAAATGAATATGATTAAAATTGATGGATGGATGCTGTTTTTGTGTGTTAGCTAGCCATTTTTTTGTTGAGGTTGCGCTTTTTTATGATTTATTTGCAAGAAGCCAAATTGGCTTCAGTAGTAGATAATAACACCGTAAAAAAAACATTTGTTAATGTATGAGGTCGTGAGACGAAGAGAATTATTTTTTAAAGAAAAGATTTAATTGAAGCGTTGAAATTTTGTTTCATTCCAATTTATTTTATTCGCAGTTCAGATAAAAAATAAATAGAATTATATCTAATTAAAACTTGTTTGTTGTTGGTTGGTGTCTGATGCTTTTAATAAAAAAAAGACCACGATGAGTTAAAATGCGAGCAGGTGATTTGTAAAACGTTTAATCCTCATTCGTTAGCTGCATCAAAGAAACTCGGCAAAACAGCTTTTCTTTTTAAAACTTTTTCTCATATCAGCACGTGTTGTGAGATCGTTTGAACTTTGGAGGAGAGAAATTGTGACGGATGTAGATCTGAAATGTTGTACTCCACTTAGTGTTGTCGTTCATATCGATTGCCATGTTAGTTACTCCGTTGGTAGTACTGTGCGAAGTTATACATATAACGCTTATATCGAGTTCCTTCTAACTCCAACGAAAGACTTAATATTTGAACTTTGTTTATAATAAAAAATTAGAGTTAAATTAGGTGCCAAAATGTTTGAGTTTTTGATCTCTTGATCTAATTTTTATATAAAAAAAAAGTGTCAGTGTCATAAACTATTTACATGTATGCAGAAAAAAAATTTGAAAGTTTATATTAGTCCTGTTTACATCATCAAATAAACGTATGTCATATAGTAATAGCGCCTTTGAGAGCTGTAAAAAGTAAAGGAGTCATACAAATAATCTGATATTTTTGTTGAATTAATAGAATACGTTCTGACAGATGCCAGTAGTAATGATGTTGGCAAAAGCTTATTAAAAGAAATTGAAATGCAGGCCCTACTACGTGAACACTCGTGTCGGGCGCGTGTTGGTCACTTCACTTACGTTAACTTGCTGAGATTCTGCGCTTGCAAACCGGATTTGTTGACATACATTAGTGCTGCTGCCGTAGGTGAAGGTAGTTGTGTTGTGGTGGTTGTTGGTGGTCGATGGCTGGACATACAGCTTTAAATATTTCTCGCATGAGGCATGGCGAAATTTGGCCTTTTAAATTATATTGCAGTATGATTAAAATCGCCGAAACATTGTAAACGGCAAGCAACGGGTTATCCTAAAGAACTAGCATGGACCTGATGATGTCTATTGTTTGCGCGTTAATGGGGGAACAATGATAAAATGAACATTCACGCTACTTACATGGGTGGTTTTAAAGCAAAATTTTTGAAGGTTTTGGCATATCGTCAACACTTGTTGCCCATTCAAGACATGATTCAAAATGATTCAAAATTAAATTCTGTTCAATTTTATATAAAAAACTCTTTTGTGATGTTAAACTATTTATTATCAAATTATTTTTTGGTTTATAACATAAGCTTTGTCAACAATACATTCTTTTTTTAAAACGTACTAACTATTATCTAATTTGTTATTTAAATATTTTTCAAATATGTGTGCATGCTCATGTATAATCCTTAAAATTTAAACTCTTAAAATGATTGCGCGCTGATGTGTAAGTGGATATATTAATATGAGAGCTCGTTTTTGCGTTCAAGTGCGTGCGTGTCTGCTGGCTGGCTGGCTGGTGTCTGCGAAATGTCCATGCTATCGATGCATTAAGCTGGTCTGCTGCCGCTTAACACGTCACACTTCTCCTAATGTCTTTTTATGATGCTCGTAAACATGCTTGTCTATGTAATGCTCACTTCATTTTTACTGTTCATAAGTAATAACAAATTAATAAATTTATCATTATTGTTCACTATTTAATCGAATTTAACGTTCCTCTTCAAACTCTCAAGATTTCTTTGACTGTCAATTCACTATTTCATCATCACCTATTTCATTACATTATTATAACGATTAAATATTATTTACATATATATATGTGTGTGTGTGCTTGTTTGTACGTGTGTGTAACTAAATAATTAATATATATATATATATATATGTGTGTGTGTATATATATATATATATATGTATATATATATATGTGTGTATATATATATATGTATATATATATGTAAGTATATATACATGTAAATGTGTATATATATATGTATATACACGTACCTTCGTATATATAAACATAGTCAAATATAATAAATAACCAAATATATTATATTAATGTACATGACATGAATTATGTGTGCGGTGCTTATTGATAACCCACCCGCCCATGGTGTCTCGGCCATCACGGCTATTTGGGCGGATGGATTGGACGGATGAATTGAACTGATTAATTGGACGAATGAATTGAACTGATGAATTGGGCTGATGAATTGGGCAGATGAATTGGATGCTGAATTGAAGAAAACTATTGAGACGAAATTTTTTGACAACGTTAAACACGGATGACTTCGATTATGTTTAGACAAAAATAATTTTAGAAACTTATTAACAACTTGTGAATTAGAAAACAGATTTTATTGACAAAATAAACCTTAATAAATAAATAAATACATAAACTAATAAGTAAATAAATAAATATATATATATATATAATTTGAAATTAAATTTTCACCAAAAGTGTCATTTTTGTAACGCCAACTCCAAACAAACTGATAAGATAGATTTCTTCTAACGAAACGACGGTGTTATTCTTATGAGAGGCTGAAATCGGCAGCAGTCTACTTAGAATGAGAATGTTTGCAAGCAGGATGTCAATTAAGTGCTGATGAGTTGGATGATGATGACCAGATAAGCGATCTACTTACACGACTGATGCAGATGAATGATTAGACAGTAATGGAAAATATAATTAAGGATGCTGGCCGACCATGTATCTAGCGTCATTTAACAATTTCATCGATAACTAGATGCCAATGTTCATGAAGAGAGCAACTTAATGGTTGTGTTGCAGTACATTATAAGACCCTATGTTGATTATGCCATTTTGATAGCCATTATATCAAGAAATAACATACTTTTATATTTAAATTTGTGTCGGCAGCATTATTTAATTGAATCATACAACAACATACGCTTATGATTTTGCAATACTTTGGCTTTAAGTCAAGTCAATGTTCACAAACTGAAATCATTTATAAACAGGGAGGCTCTTCGCCAAGAGAAACCCTCAAGATAAAAAACGTGTTACGAGCATTAATTAAGTTGTTGCTAGAAAAGTTTGCGTGCTTGTGTGTGTGTGTGTGTGTTTGTTTGTGTGGGTGTTTGTTTGCATGTGTGTGTTTATTTGCATGCGTGTGTGTGTTTGTGTGTGTGTGTTTGTTTGCATGTGTGTTTGTTTGCATGTGTGAGTGTTTATGCACGTTGAACTGTTTTAGCAAATGTACATTTACACATTTTAATGAAAAAATCTTCAGCCGTTTTGAATAAATTTAAAATCGAGATTGTTTTTGTTGTATCGGTTATATATGTTGATTGATTTGTCGGTGTGTAAATTTAGAAACAAACTAGCAACCAGCAGCAGCAACAACAGCCACAACGACAAAAAGATCAACTACACGAAAATGAAGCAGAAAAGAGGAACTAGCCACGTAATTGACTCCTGGGAGGACAACAAACGAACAAACGATGTCTGCACGCCAACAGACGTCCATTTTGTTTATGTTACGTGCAATGTTTCTTAAGCTGGGGTGGGGCATTTGTACAACATCATGTCCCGTGTAACGCTAAAAAAATTGTTGTTTGCTTATTAACTAATAATTTTTCATATCCATATTCGTGCATAATTGTTGAATGTGTAATGATTGTTTTTATAACTTTTAAGATTAGTTTGCAATTTCAATTGAATCATATCTGGCATTGTCTGATAAGGGAAACATAGCTTTTTAAAAAAGAGCATACGTCTAGAAAAATGAAAATGTTCTCACGAGCAAGAAAGATATTTAATAATTAACCGAACATAATCAGCCTTGTATTGAACCTTGGAAAGGTCGAAACAGCTGAACGTTATTATTCCACGTTTCATTCATTCCAATTGTCATCTTTCACAGAAATATCTATCAACAAAAACTGCAAAAAACGTCGTCTCTCTGTACAACCCACGTTAACGTTCGTGCAAAATTATGCAAACTGCCTATCTGTCTACCTACCTACCTACCTTCCTACCTACCTATCTACCTACCTGCCTACCTACCTAACCACCTACCTACCTACCTAACTACCTACCTAACTACCTACCTACCTACCT